TATTTGTATATTCTATTTCTATGTATGTATATTTTTGAATTTTTATTTTTATGAACTCCTATTTACTTTTCTTCCCATTTTCCTCCAATACGTTTTATTTTCAAATTTTTATTATCTCCAATTTCATTTTTGTTTCGTTTTTTAATTGCATTTCAGGTTGGGAATTGCGTGGCCTTAACTGTTATAAATACTTCAACATAAAACATTCATGGGAAAAGAGCGCTGAGCTGTGTCGAAGGTGAGCGTAATTAAAATGCAATAGTACAAGTAATTAGCCAGACGAAATATATTAAGTTATTAAGACAGAAAAAAAAAAATTAGTTAACAAAATTTTGCATATTATCACGCTTTATTCAAGCGCTTGGAAGTTTTCAGTTTTTAGCATTTGATTGCCGTTTAGTAAATTGCTTGTTAATTACGCGCGAATATGTCTTAATTTGTTGCATAGAGTGTCACGTCACCGCTGCCTGTACAAATTTACACCTAAAGAAACGCATACTTATGCATATATGTATATATGTAGGCATTATTATTGAGCTTGTAAAAAGTAAGGAAGTCACAGTCTACAAGCTATCCGGCTATTGTGTAATTCGCTGAGTGTTTTTGTTATTGTATTTCTGTTAAGTGTTGCTGGGTCACTATGTTAGTATCATTATGTGATAGCTTAGTACTATTTACATATATAACTATGAAAATGAAAATATCTTTTTCAAATTGTTTTTATTTGAAATTTTTGAAATAAATATGTAATTACTTTCTTCAAAAAAGACAAAACTCTCAGAATAAACATAGTATTTCATAATTTATTAAGTAGTCTCGGTGTGCAGTAGTTCAAGATCCGATCGAGTCAAAATCGAAAAAAAAATATATAAATATTCTTTCCAAATAGTATTTGGCCCCGTCCTGATCGCTGAACTTCGGCCCACTGCCAGATCCTAGAATAGAAACCAGGAAATCTGCTGAACTCTCTTCTCGCATGCAAGTCCTCAAGGGGGTGTGGAGAAGAAAGTGGTGGAAACATTAATACACTTTTTTCACCATTATCTAGCCTTTGCGAAACTAAAGTTAGAAGAGCAGAGAAATCAATCATACCTTCGATGAATCAGCCGACCTTAGCCGTCTCAACAAATTTGTAATAGGGCACTTTGACGATTTGTAAAATCTTTTGCTCTATTATATAGGAGTTTTAAATGATCATTGTTGGGATCGACCTCATAACTTAATTTAACCTGAGCTTTAGTGCACCTCAAAATTTTTTTTATATGTTTTCATACATATATGTTTTTATATGAATAATT